TTGGGTGTTGTCACACAGAGACGGACGTTAGCGTTTTCGTTGGCATTGTAGCCATGCCTACGTCATACCGTTGTTGTACGGTAACTCTATATGGGCAACACCGCCAAAGTAATGCGACAAACGAAAAGGAGGCCCTTCTACAAAGAGGAATAGCAGTGCTATCGACACAGGCGAGATATCATGCCATGCCACAAAAGGGGAAACAAAAACACTCTTGTTGTGCCAAGTCGCCCCATGAAAGGGTATAACTGCTGCTGTGACCTCACGGTGATGGCACATTGTGTCAAAACGGAACGAAAATAACGACACTATAGCTTGTGCATCGCGTATCAAAACAGGGCGAGAATGCTACACGCCCAACGGCAGTAACGCTAAACACTTCCCCGTACAAAAACGACGTGCCACGTTGTCACACAACATGGCATTCGATCGAGATGTATCACAAAACACGGTCCACGTATCCCCGTGTCAAAGCCACCCTGTCACACAACATGGCGCTTGATCAAAATCTCACCGTTCCCAGATGGCGCTGGTGAACATCTTGGCGTACAGGTAGGCGTAGTAGCTTGCCCCGTACCCGGTGAAGTGTCCAAACCTGTCAAAAGTGTCCAAACCTTTCAAAATTGTCCAAACCTGTCAAACGTGTCCAAACCTGTCAAAAGTGTCCAAACCTGTCAAGATTGTCCAAACTTGTCAAAAGTGTCCAAACCTGTCAAACGTGTCCAAACCTGTCAAAAGTGTCCAAACCTGTCAAGTCCAGTCAAACAATCAAAGCTGCATCACATCACCCATCGCACTTTTAGCAGCCATGAGATGTGCAAAACCTGTCGAGTCAAAACATCATCAAAACCGCATCAAATCACCCGTGGCATTTAGTAGCTACGACATGTTCAAACATGTCGAGTCCAACAATCAAACTCGCATCAAATCTCTCGTGGCACTTTGCAGCCAGGAAATGTCCAAACGCGTCCAATCAAATCCACCAAAAACAGCATCAAACCACCGTCACACGCTAACAGCCACGAAAAACGAGAAAAACACGATTAGACCGGATGGATTCAAAATTTGGAACAAATCATGGAACCACGGATCTCATCGGATGTCTTGGTTTTTCTGAGCGCAAAGAGACACTTTCTCTTTCGCTCCCAAAACTAGTGAGCAGCATTGATCACGAATTTCCTGAGACCATCCCGCCCACCCGGCCGCAGGTTGGTACAAATACCTACATCATTTATTGGTACGAATCCCGCGCTGGGGCACACCAGGCGTTTCTCAGCGCCGGGTGGCATACCAGGCGAGGACTCGTGCCGGCGCAGGAGGCCTCGTCCAATCCAATGCTTACAGTATACAGTATACAGTATACAGTATACATTATACATTATATGATCCTCGGTAGGGAGACAGAATACAACAGTAGAGTCAAACGGGCGCGTCATGTACGTGGTGTCACCACCACCACCACCACCACCATCATTATCATCATCATCATCAGCAGCAGCAGCAGCAGCAGCAGCAGCAACCAACCCACCTGGAATGCCAGAACGCCCCCTCGCACCGCGGCAACCCCGCGATTCTCTCCTGCAACGCATCAGCCACAGACGCCGACGACCAAACACCCCCCTCCGGCTGCGGAAAGTCAACCCCAAGATCGATGTGGCAACCAGAAAACAAGCAACATGTAGCCAGACGGGTGGGGGGCGGGGGGGGAGGACGTATCGCTTTTGGCGTGTCCGTCGACTTGCTGTTATCCGCAACAGACAAGTGGTCCACACGGGCACACTTGGCCGGGTGGAGAGCAACCGCTGTGTAGACGTTATCGGTGAAAAGTTAATCTGGAAGATCAGCTTGGCACGGAGGCTCGAGACATGTTGCGCGTGTGTAGCAACACCAACACCAAAACATTAGAATGCGCTCAAACAATCGGTTCCAGCCGTCAAAACTCCAAGCAGTGGTTGTCTCTCAAGGGGTATTTCAGACGGTCCGCATACCCTGCGCACATGCGGCCAAAGCCATGTATGCAAACGCCATGCGCCTGGAGTGTTAGAGCAGCAGCAACAAAAACACCCGTCTGCCACCTTGCACCTGGCGGCCAAACAGCTGCTGGTCGAGGGTCGCGTAGAGCAGCTGCGTCTGGATTCCCAGCCCGGCGAAGAGGGTTTTCGATCTGTGGAGGCCGTCTAACAGGGCGGGGGGGGGTGCTTCGCCCGTGCGGTAGTGCCTGTTTGAGCGGACGAAAGGGGCCGGTAGGGGCACAAGAAACGGAAACAAGTGTGCAGTGTTCGATGGGGCGTGGTATTGGC